ACGGTGTCTGCCAAGCCTGTCCCCTGCCTGGCCCTGCCTGCTCACCGGTGGGTTTCCTGTCTCTTCCTAGTACGAGATTAACAAGTCCCTCCTGCTCGCGAGGACGCTGCAGTTCTCGGTCTGGCACCACGATCGCTTTGGCCGCAACACGTTCCTGGGGGAGGTGGAGGTCCCGCTGGATGCCTGGAACTTCGAGAGCCAGCTGGAGGAGTTTCTGCCCCTGCACAGCAAGGTGCTGGCCCTGCCACCCTCGCCCTGCTGCCCACAGCCTCCCTCGCCTGTCCCTGACCAAGGGCTGTCCCTCAGTGGGCAGAGGAGTGCAGACACCTTGGCCAAGAGCTGCCAAAAGGCTTGTGGCAAATCAAGTGTTTGGAGATGTGGAGGCCCCAGAAGCAGACAGCAGTACTGTCGTAATAAAAAAGGGCAGATCTTCTGCTTGAGCCTAGCTTTCTTCCTCCTCCTCAGTAAGTCCCCTGTGTGATGCTGTGGGACTTGTCTCTGCCCTGTCAGGTATTTTCATTCTGCTTGCTTGATTGCTCCAAGACCACAGCCCCAGACAGGAGGAATTGGAGCCACTTCAGGGAAACAGGTCACGGGAACCGTCCGGGCCATCCTGCCCGGGCTGTGGAGCGGGGCAGTGAGGGCCTCTGTGTAGCTTGATGGCAGCAGCAGATACTGCTGCTGGACTTGAGCCTGGTTCTCTAGACTAACTCACCCTGCGGGCTTAGCCCTTGGCATTGCTGGGGCTTGAGCAGCTTGTGGAAACCCCTAAATGGGATGTGGTTGAGCCTGAGTAGGATCTCAAAGGGATCCTGGAGGAGCTGGTCTGAGCCTGACCTGGTGATGCTGGGGAGGGTCTGCAGGCCAAACCACCCCTAGGAGAAGCCCAGCATGGGGAGGTGCTGTGTGCAGTCTGGGCCATCACCATGTCCAGTTTGGCCTCTGTGACAACTCTTTATCTCTTTGCAGACTGGGATGGAATCTGCTGGTCACCAGTACAAGGGGGAGCTGGTTGTCTCCATGAAATACATCCCATCTTCCAAGCACCCTGGGGCTGGGAATGGCAGGAAGGGTGAGTGCTGGAGCTGCAGGATCTCTGTAGTCTGCAGGACCCGCTTGTGGCCAGGCGAGCTGGGTCTGGGTGGGTTTTTTGGGAGGTGCTCCTGCAGCCTTTTCCTCTGCAACGCCTGCAAGGCTGCTCTGGGTCGGGGCAGAGACGGCCGGCCTCAGGCTGGCCGAGCGGTCCCAGTGCTTTCCTCGGGCTGGACCAGGCGGCACATTGGCTTCATTTGAAGCAATTGACTGCTTTTGCCTCAGCAGGCAGGCATCTGCGATGAAGGCTTTTCAGCA